CAACATTATTATATTTTTTTGTATTACTTTGTTATAACATTGATTTTAATAAAAAACCTCTGTTAACATTATATTTAATATTTATTTCAAATAAGTTTATTTTTATACATATTCTGCGTTAAAATTATCATTAATTACTTTTTATCTATTTCTTCATATTTTTCGGATAGTTTTCTTTACTAATATTTTTTATTCAGTTTCAATAATCGAATCATATTAATCAGTCAGTTAATAAAATTATAAAAATTAACTAACTATATTTTAATTTTGATTGATTGCTTTTAAATTATATTGTTAAGAAGAAAATGTGAAAAATTACTGAAAATGGCGAATCGCAGATTTCATAAAGGCACTACTCATAGAGTACCGGTAAGTTTATTTCTGCCATAATTTATTGGTAGGTGTATCTGTTAAACACTCTCAGAAATATATTATAATTAAATATTACTATTAATTATTATTAACTTCTCGTAGGGTAAGTTATTGTAATCGTCCAAAAATTGAAATTGAAAATTTTTTACATTTCTCGACGTTTTGAAGGTATCTGAACATTTTGGCATACCTCAGAAAATAATGGATGTGTGTGTGTTGTGTGCATGTATAGATACAATTTTTCGACCACGTTTTTCGGGCGCACGGATCAACCGATTTGAATGGTTCAAAAAACATTCGATTCCTATGATAGGGACATGTGCTGATTAGTTTTTGGCAAAAGGCAGGCCCAGCAGTTACAGAGATAAAGAGCAAAGAGTGCAGAAAATAGAAATCGAGTTTTTGAGAGAACGGAGTATCCGATTTGAATGATCCAAAAAACATTCAATTTGTAATGATTGGGAGAAATGGTTATTAGTTTTTGGCAAAGGCAGGCCCAGCAAAAAATGGCAGTTTTTAAGAGAACTAAGCGTCCGGTTTGAATGGTTCAAAGACTTTCTGCTTGTTTTAACAAATAAGGGTTTTATATATGCGAAAATAATTCAGATTTTATTTTCAATTCCGACTAAAGTTCTAATATACTTCAAACAAATAATTTTAACTTTGCAATTTAGTTTATATAATTCTTATAAATATTAAACAATGTTACAATATTTATAATAATTTATTTGAAAACATTCAATATTTCTCGAACATTTCGTTACGGTACGGGAAGTTCCAGCAATTTGCCTTAAGGCACGATGCCATACACTCCACTAGTTATCATTATATATTACATATTACAATTACTATTGATATATTATTTATTACTATATTGTAAAGGTTCGATTAAATTGCTATCATTTTTTTTAAACATTACTGATTTCAACCTGGACCCTAGTAGATGCAATTACTAGATTTTTACTGAACTACGAACGGTTTATTTTTATTTGTCATAATTGCAATTTATTAATTAATTAGAAGGAAATATTCTAGTTCTGATATATTTTTTATTAGAAGGCAATCAAACACTTGGCTTTTCCTAATTGTAATGCAAACGTTAGGTCAAAGCTCTAACCCCACCCCTTGTGCTACGTACTCCCTATAATAAAATTACATATTACATAGTTGTATTAATGCAAGTTTATGAATCGATTTTATTTTATTGTATCTGTAATATCTGGTAGGAACTTATATTCAAACAAAGCGATATCAAATACAGTTTTTTTAAAATCGATTCATGAGTTATTGGTCCTGTAATGACATATCCAGTTTATGATAATCTTGATCGAAAACTGTAACATACACTTTTTATACGGTACCAAGACACAATTTTTATACGATGCACGCAGTTGCTCAATCTTCAACTGTTTCATAGAAATATTTTATATTTATGAAATATATTGAATTCTTAATATGATACATATATATTGCAATATAACGGAAATTAAAATTGAAATATGATAGTAAGTATATAAATAAATTTCAGTGAGTTTGTTTCATAATATATAAATAATATTTAGGGTGGTCCTTAATATGGCCATTTTCGAATTTCCTTGCTCCAAAGAGCTCAAATGGCTTCAAATTGATGAAAAACAATTCTCTGAAAGTTTTAGCTCTTATTAATATTGCCTTTTAGATAGAGCGCAATTCAATCGAAGTTTTGTATTAAAATAACATGAAAAATTTTTCAAAAATTATGCAGAGCGTCGTATTTTCAATAAAAAATGACACGAATTTTCACTTTTGTCGCTAAGTTATACCTAAAAATTTTTTTTTTCAATTTTCAATTTTTTTCCATGCTATTTCCATACGAAGTTTGATTGAATTGCGCACTATCTAAAAGTTTTTTATTAAGAGCTAAAACTTTCAGATAATTGTTTTTTATCAATTTGGAACCATTTGAGCCCTTGGGAGCAAGGAAATTCGAAAATGTCTATGATAAGGACCACCCTAATAAATATATTGATAACTCTATGAACAAATTAAACATACATTTTCAAGAAACCATATCATGTTCCGTGTTTCGCGACTTTTAAAAAATCTGTTTCTGTTAACAGCGTTTTGAGAATATTTTAAAGGTCAATTTTCACAGTTTTATTCTATTTTAACAAAATGTTATGAATTTAAAGAGTTTAAAATCATATCTTTAGAATCTAAGTATAAATACTAGTTAACACTGAAACTAATTCATAGCGCATAATATTCTGTTTTCAATTTTTTAAGATATTTTATGAGTGCATAGAATTACTCTATTGTAGCAAATGAAGGCATTGTCAACTTAAATTCATAAAATTTGTGAGTTTTTATATAAATAACTATAACTATAACTAATTTGTAGAAGAAACTGCTAAAATATACATTTGGAACATAGAAGAACAAAGACGTGATTGAGTGATTTAATATATGAGGGAAAGACTGATAGGAAATATGACTGGAAATATTATTGGAAAATATAATATAAACTGATGAAATAATTAATGACAAAAATCAAGAATCAGAAAGCAGTAAAGGAATTAACAAAAAAAATAATGGATACTATTTTTTAAAAAAAGAAATAATCTTATTGATATATGCTATGAAAAAATGTCGTGAAAAAGTATATTCAATGTCTTTAAGGAAAATGACGAAATCAAATGAACTAATTTGCTAGTTTGTACAACCTACATCCATCTCCCCTAACAGAATATTTTACATTCGTTTCAAATTTACATAATCTATTAAAGTAAACTTTGGCCAAACTTATTAATATAAGAAGATATCAAAATTCAAAGTTTTAGGCTGTCAGGAAAATGTTTACAGAGCGGTTTCCGTGACCAAATATATTGTACACATCTTCTGTGATATAACTTGAGTTTTCATATGTCAGTCCCACAAGAAACCTTATAGTGAGAGGATATTTTAAGACATACGAAGAAATTTATTGAAAATTAGGAAAAAAAATAAATAATGATGCAAATATTATTTGCATCGTTAATAAATTAACAAATATGTTGCAATAATTATAGTGCAGTGTAGAATACATTTAATTTATCTCTTAAAATTGCTTTTTTTACTTTGATCAAGAGCTATACAAGTAATATCGTAATGTGCTTCAAGAGCTATATATATAAGTGATCTACCTAATATGTTTTGAAATTAGTTATTTCGATATAATATATGTGCTACCTAATTGTTTCTAATAATTAATTATGTTTGTGCACAATTTAAAACCAGGAGAGGGAGGTAGTGAAGAGGAATCTGAAGAAGAAATCTCTGCTAGTGAAACATTACAGGTGTTTTTGTCAATTTATTTTTCCAATTTAGCCTATTTCATAAAGAACTAAATACTATAGATAGTCTTGCTAAAAAAATTAAAAATAACTTGTCTTGCTGACGGTTTCTAATATAACTCTACGAAATAACTATCAAAAATGGTTGAAAAATTAAATGTATTAGAAAAACAATAAATGGATGTAGGAAAAGACATGAGAAAGACCAGCAATGACAACATATTAGTAATATCAATGTAGAGTTGCATACAAATCCAAATATACAAGTAAATAAAGAATGCACTGTATATGATTTACAAGTTCTTAATTAATTCAATTATTTCTAGTTATGATATATGAAACAAATAATCTTGATGTATAAATAATATTTATTTCTTAGTTTACATTTCACTGTGAGTACTAAATTATAAACAATACCAAAATATCTTATTTTGCATTCATGGTCCATATATAAAACTAGGTGTGTCACTTTTCTTAAGGCAAGTTGCATAAGTTTTCGATACGAGAATAAAGTTTATTACGCCAAATTTTAATGAATTTTCATAATAAAACTACTTTTTGTAGGCCCATATTTTAGGATGATTTTTATGACCAAATTTTTTTCCCAAAAATATAAATGACTATAAAGAAATAGCCCAGCTCATATCTCTAAATAAAAACTAATCAGCGCGATTTCCAACTAATTTCTTATAAAAAGTTTTGGAATTTTTAGGATCAGTTTACTATTAGCAGAAAGGTAGACGGAAAACTTTACACTTATCTGTTAACTATGTAGAAATGACTGGTCTGATCGGTCTCACACACTAATTTTGGTGATTTAAAATCACTATTTGAAGTGTCGAAAAAATATTGAAGTAGTAAATTGGATATTCTGGGCGTAAAATAAAATTCTCTTTTGGAAAGTTAGTGAAAAGTCATTTTAAGTGAATTTTACATTATGTGAAAAAAAATTATCAATTTTTGTAGAAGTTTATAACTCAAAACGCCTAATTATAATTAAAAATAATGTAAAAACATAAAAGGTAATAGGCCTAAACAATGACCATTTTTTTAATCTACGAATAGCAAACAATCCTGAGGACAATTTAAAGTCAAGTTAATTCATAAAAGTTTTTAAAATTTGTGATAAATATTAATGAATAAGCCTATAATTTAAAGAAATTGCATAATTTTTTTGATGATATTTAATTCAATATAGTATTGAGTTTCAAAATGACAAATTATATACCTCAACTTTTGAAGATGCTTGATATTACGAAGACGTAATATGAAGTTTCATAAAGTCAAGACACAAAATTTAATTATTTTAGCTTTCCTTTATTTGTATTTTATAATATATTTGGTTCTTTTGTTATTTAATTGTAATATTGTGAATTGTATATTGTAATACATCTAATACATCTATATTAACATATAAGTAAACCAGCTCACTTTATACGCAAAAAAATAACACTACAAGAAAGTTTTCAGTGGCCGATTGAAGATCTACATTTTTATGTACTTTTGAATTAGGTTTCATGTTTATAAATAGTCTTATGTTTATCAATATTACAATATTTTTCTTGCATATTTACTTGCTTTTCCACTTTTACTTCTTATGTTGATATTTCGATAAAATTCTCAGTGAACATTGAAGTTCTATTTGTCTTTATATATTTGCCTTCCTGCATTGGAACTGAAAATCTTGCCATTTATATGGTAGTAGATATATGTGACCGAATAATGGATCGCATATACCGATATCAAACACGCACTGCAATAAAACTACATGGAATTTCGTAACTATCGTTGCTGTTCAATAACTGTCATGATTTACAAACTTGAAATTTCCGCATAGGTAGTAATACGTATTCGAACATGTAATAAAATATGACCAGACAAAAATATATGTGAAATTAAATCAAATGGTTGTACGATTTATGGAAAATTCAAATTTTTTTTAAAAAACAATTAAAGAATAACTCATACATTACGTATTGTTATTATTGTCACTGTTTTATCAGATCTACCAGCTTCTCCTTTTAGAAGGCAATTCATCGATTGATCTAACAATATTTGATACACATATATTTATTAATAGAATTTCTATAATTCAAAAATTAGAGAGAACAGATATATTTTTAATACTATGAAGATATTTAGAAAAAAAGCAATCTCAGTAGCAAAATAAGTGGATAATTCCGAATTCTTTGACATCAACATTTGGAAAACATGTTTTGTTGTATGTTATGTATGATATGCTGAAATATGAGCTTTCATCGACGTTCTCCTAAATATAAAAGCAGCAATTAAAAAAAAATCTATTCGATGAAACTCTATAGGAACTCACATTTTTTAAATAATTAATTATAAAACTGTAGATCGACCTTTTCGCCAAAAATCCTGAACCGATTTTAAAAATTTAAAAATTGTTCGAAAGACATTATAGTTCGTAATCGCGCTGATTAGCTTTAGGTAAAGATCGACTGAGTCTTTTCTTCGCATTTAATAGTTGAAAAAATGAAACTTTGCACAGTGGTAGAGTTTATGGTCTTATAAACTAACAACTAAAATTATGAAAGGTCTACCAAACTGATGAGTGAGTTTTTATAATCGAAACACTCTTGGTAGTACCAATAGTCTTTTGACTCTCTAAAGATTGGTGTAATCTCTATTTGAAAAGTTGTTAAATCTTATTTTGTATTAATTAAGTCTATTGCTATTATTAATTAAATAATACATATCGGGAAGTTTACATCTAGTTTTAATAATGTTGTTCATAATTAATGGAAAATGTTATTTATTTTGTCTTCATTGATTAAGTTTTTGAAGTGAAATTGAATGATGCAAAGTCAGTTATAGAAGTATATGACTATTCATCATATTTGATTGTAAATGTTATAAATATCAAGAATCAAAACGCAATTTTACAAAAACAATAAAACTCAATAAAGTTAATAAAACATAAATATTTTATGAAATTCACTTAGGAACTTCAAAAAATAAATTTATTGAACCATCATTATTTATTTTTTCTCAAAATTAATGAAATGATTTTTATTTTATTTATACTATAAAATAAAACATAATGTAATATCTGGACTGAAATTTAATTTACCCATTAATTGTCGATAAATTTTAATGTGGCATATTGTGTTTCTATATTTTATTTTCTATATTTAGATTTTTTGTATACATCTTATAAAAAGTATTTTTTATTAAATTTTGATTTCAATAAATATTTCATATGTTTTACTTTAATTCTCATATGTACTTTTCACTATTATTATTTCCAGAGACGGCGAGAAGAATGCGAGCGAAAGGCGAGACGCGGGGAGATGGACCCGCGTCTTGAGTACACCTTTCAGCTTCTTATCGACGGCACTGGATTGCCAAGACATGAAATCATGGATCATGTCTTCGAGGGAAATATGGTAATTGCTTCTCTTATAAAATTTATGAAGTCAGTTAAAAACTATTTTTGTTTTAAAATATACTTTATTTTTCGAATTTATCAATAAAAAAAATTATTCATTTATTTATTCGCCAATCAACCAAAATTACAACAATTGTTGGTTATTTATACAACAACTGTTGGAACTCAACAAATCGTTCACCCAGTAGTTGGTGAAATAAAAATATTTTTGGTAAAGTAGCAATATTGTAAAATAACTTATAATGAATATGAAAACTGCAAATTTGTTACATTTTTTACTTTCTCGAAAATCTAATTATTATTTTTTAATAGAATACTATAAAATAACAACCAATACATCAGTTACTAGGCAGTTCGTTACTGACTAATCCCAATCTTTTTGTCATCGTATTTTAACGATCAAAAATATAGAATACGAATATAAAATGAAACATAAATATTTTTTATCGTTAAAATAATTTTTCATATATTACTAATTAGAAAATATGCTATTTTTTATCTTTTTCTATTATCGAAACAAAAACACCAATCCTTTTTCATTGATACATCATACATCAAAAATTTTTAATAGTAAGAAAATGTTGTCGTTTTGTAGGTTAATTATTTATATACGGTGGCTAATGTATCATATCATACAGTCAAGATTTATGTAACAAAACAAGTGCTATAATTTAAACCAAAACTTGTGCCAACGGTCATCAATGCAT